ATATATATATCGGTTTCAACGAAGAAAACGAAGATAATCATTGGGATAATAATTGAAAGATAGGACGACAATAAAATATGAGCATAAAAATTGCCGTGGAACCATCAACAAAGTTTTACAATAATATTAATAGTAAGAATTTTGTGAAAAAATATAGTGCACCATTGCACTATATTTTTAACACACCACATTCAATATATTGATTCAATATATGTTTCGATATTATTTTATACTTTCAACATAAATTTTCACTGTAATAATATTTAGAATCTTTCAGACACTAAAGTATGTTTCGTTTTCGCTGAATCGTCACGTTTGAATTTCGCGCGAAATAACAGAATCATAATCCTTCAACTATGTACTTCGATAATTTTGTCGTAACTACTAAAATTTATTTCATACTGATATAAAATAATACATGTTCAATACTCACGTACATTGAAGAGAAACTGACGACGATCAGGATTTATTTTCAACCAATATTTTCAACTAACACGAACCTGGAAGTAAAATTTAAAAAATGTTTAGTCCTTCGTTCAACTAATCAGAGAATTATATTATCATTCAGTTTAGTAGTAAACTCAAGTCCTTAAATTTTTAAATAAAACAAATACCAGCTTAAAAATACAGCTCATAAAAGTTACATGTATGTAAATTACTATGGCACGTAATATCTATATAATTTGTTGCAATTTTGTAAAATTTGAATTGCACTTGTCACTGAGCGCAAGCATTACTCATAATAACACCAATAACGTATCTAATTGTTTTTTCATCAAACGAAATATTTTGCACATAACACATTTCGCGTTACCTGTACGTAAATTTCTCAAAATAAAGAAGTAGCACAAAAAAAAATGTTGAATACTCGCCATCATGGACTAACAGATTATTTCGAATCTATTTCTCTTTCAAATGTGCTGACATCTACAAAAATATACTTTATATATCTTATCTGTGAAATATTGTTGAAAAATGTCTTCTTTATCGATACTGTACCACGTAGAGAGTAAATTCTTCTTCTATGGAATTTTGATAAACGTGTGCTTAAAGTTCAGTTTATTTCCATTGTTCTTCACGGTATGAAGTATGTATGTATATCTACAGATATGATAGAATCAGTTTTTGTTTTATTTCTAATTTGTTTTGCTGTTTTTATTGTCTTTTTAGATGTGATTTTATTATTTTGAATTTAGAAGAAGAATATTGAAGATGAATATACTTCTATTATAGATCTACTTAAAACGTACAAAAATATAGATATTACTTCCAAGAGTTGCCATCAAGAATTATATAATAATTTCAAATTTTATAATTAACTTATTAAATGCAATCAACATAATTTCATCTGTAATTTATGTAGCCGTATGCAATAAATTCGTCTAAAATATTACTCAAAAATTAAGTCATACAAATTTATTGACTAATATTCATTTCACAGTAATATAATTTCTTTTTTGAATTATATCGCTTTATTAATCAGTTTGGATTTTGCAAAATACTTGCATTAAATTTTATTGTTTCTTTTTATTCATTGGTTTAATTGCTTTTTTCCTATGTCATCATTTGAACAAACATTTTTATTACGAATATTTTTTTAAATATGTTTATATGTTAGTTTCTTTTTTTTTTTAAAGCACTTTCACACAATTGCATTTCAAAATTGTTTTTGTATATGTACATTTAATTCTGGATACTTATAAATTATAATATAATAGAGTATATAATATAGGTAATAAAGAATTGTGCAACATTATAATAAATATTTAAACTTTTTATATGTTATTATACTTTAATATGCTAATTTGTATATATAATTGAATATATCTTTTATCAAGTACATTTACAAAAATATAAAAGTTTATTTTATATGTAATTATCATAATTATTATTTACGTAACTTTATGTTACTATTTATATACTAATTATAATATTTATAAATATTTAATATTCATAAATATTTGTAATCAATCCCATTGATCATTTATGTTCTCTCATTCTAGCACAAACTAATGGGAAAATGGCAGATTATGCAAGTGTAAGTACATTGATTTTTAAATATAAAAACTTTTTATTATGTATGTTAAATTTTTTTTTATAGCTTGTAGATCGCACACGAACTGTATTTCTTAGTGGCAAAACAAGATCATTAGAATGGAGAATAAAACAATTAAAACAAGCATTACTTATGCTAGAAGAATGCGAACAGGAAATTATATTAGCTCTTGCTACTGATCTGCATAAGGTTGTGTGATAATTATAATTATGATTCCACTTTATATTTATGTAACATAAATAATGCATTTCTTTTTTAGTGTAAATTTGAAACTGTTTCAACAGAAATAAAATTTACAGAAGGAGAAGTTATAGAATTGCTTCGACATCTTAAAGAATGGTCAGCTGATGAAAAAGTATGTTTGATATTTTATAATTTTTTATATATAACTAACCGATTTGAATAGATAAATATAAAATTCAATTAATTTGTACATTTCAGCCTTCAAAAGCAATAGTCAACATATTGGACAAAGTTGAAATTAAGAAAGAGCCATATGGTGTAGTTCTTGTTATAGGACCATGGAATTATCCTTTCCAATTATGTGTAGTTCCTTTGATAGGAGCAATAGCTGCTGGTAATTGTGTTATTCTTAAACCATCAGAATTATCCTCTGCCACATCAGCAGTTTTGGCAAAAATTATTCCAAAATATTTAGATCAAGTATGTACCCCAAGCAAACATTAACGAAAAAAACAAAAATAATTTAGAAAATGCATAGACATTTCTTATTTTAAAATAATATTATACATTCTAGGAATGCGTTCATGTTGTACTAGGGAATGTTTCTGAAACAACAGAGTTACTTAAACAAAGATTCGATTACATCTTTTACACAGGTTCACCTGCAGTCGGAAAAATTATATCCAATGCAGCAAATAAATTTTTAACACCTGTTACACTAGAACTTGGTGGTAAAAGGTAAGAAATGTATATTTCTTGTTAATTTTATTTTCTACACTTGATGATATATAAAACTGATCAATAAATGTAATATTTTACAGTCCTGTATATGTAGATAATACAGCAGATTTAGAAATAAGTGTAAAAAGAATACTTTGGGGTAAATGCGTTAATGGTGGACAAACTTGTGTCGCACCCGATTATGTACTTTGCACAGAAGAAATTCAAAATAAATTTATAGAAAAAGCAAAAGAAATTCTAAAAGAATGGTATACTGATAATCCCAAGGAAAGTCCAGATTTCACGCGTATAATTAACGAACATCATTATCAGTAAGAAAGATTTTTTTTATTATATATCTTTTAATTTCACATATCTTTTAATTTCATATGATCTTATACTATTAAAAGGCGTCTTGTAAAATATTTAAACAATGGTAAAGTAGTACTAGGAGGTGATTGCGATGCTAACGAAAGATATATCTCGCCAACTATACTTATTGATGTTAAACCAACGGATCCTGTGATGCAAGATGAAATATTCGGTCCAATATTACCATTTATAAACATAGATAACGCCTATGAAGCAATTAACTTCATAAATAGTCGGTAAGTCCTTTATATATCAATTTTTTTAAAAAATAAAAACAAAAAAGAAATATTCAATTATGAACTTCAAAAATAATTTTTACGTAGGAAATTCATCATAATATAAAATACCACTGATGCAGTTTTATAGATTGATACGATTTCATAGATTTTAATTAGAAAAATTAACAAAATATAATACATAACAATTAATTTTTTACGTTTAGTGAATCCCCACTAGTATTATATGTATTTTCCAAGGACAGAAAAGTTCAGGATTTATTAATAAGTCAAACTCGTAGTGGAAGTATAGGAGTAAATGACACATTAATGCAATATTGTGGTGAGTCAAGATATTAGGTGATGAATGCTTGATTGCTTAATAATAATATGATTTAGCTTGGTTGCTGTAATAAATTAACTCTTTACTAGAAATTAGACTAAAATATTGATTGCAAAATAATAATACTGCATATTTAGATATGAATGTGTATTGGTATTGGTATTGGGTTATATATTTTATTATATTATATCATACTCATTTTTAAAGTGATGATCTATTAAATTTCTATAGACGTGCATAAATTTTCATAACCTAAACCAAATGTAAAAAGTTATTCTTCCTCCTTTTATAAATATTAATTGCAGGGAAGAAAATGGTTTATGCTACTGTTTACCAAATTTTAAACATATTATACTTAAATTCTTCCTATATTTATCTTGTCTTATATAAGAATATACATACACATATTAGTAATAATATATAGCTATACTTTAATATTAATATATATAATACTTTATCATTTATAATTTTTTGCATTTCAGTACAATCATTATTATAATATCCAAATAGTTACATTTCCCCATAAATCTTAGTTACAATTTGAAGTTATAATTCATATACATAAGTGATAATTATTACATATTCTATACAGGGAGAAGCCATTATCAATGTACATATTTAGCACCGATGAAAAAACTTTATCATTATTTCTTAAATATACAAGCAGTGGTAATGCATGTGTAAATGATGTAATTATGAATGTAACAGGTATTGAAATTGTCATTTATTCTTTGTTTTTTATTAGTGGTTAAAATTTAATAATAAAATGTACATATAGTAATACACAGAACTTCTTTTTTGCACATATGTACATATAAATATTTTTGTATGATATTTGAGCTTATGTATATTTTATTGGATGAGCACTCATCAATAAACGTATCATTGCATTAAACCAATTTGTCCACAAAATCCAAAATCCTAAACTGAACCTTCCATACACAATATTGGAGCAAAGAATCATTTTCTTACAAAACTGTTTAATATATAAAATTTAACAGCTTTTTTCCATATTTTCATGCTTCAGTTTTCAATAGTCTGCATACAGTAACATCTCGCATAATATTGTACAGCATTTGCATAATTATTTGTACTGTATTATTATCTATATAGTAATATTCTTTATTATAGAATATAAAATATTACCACATAAGATATTACAGAATATTACTACATAGAATATTTGTGTTCTAGATCTATGTATATGTAATATTATAATATGTTATATATTTAATCACGTTAAATATCTGTCTTTCAGTTGATACTTTGCCATTTGGTGGTGTTGGTAATTCTGGTATGGGAGCTTATCATGGAAAGTATACATATGATACTTTCGTGCACAAGAAAGGATGCCTTATTAAAAATTTCAATAAATTAGGAGAAACATTAGGATCGTAAGCTAATGCTTCATAAAATTGCATAATATTTAACGTAAGAACGAATTTATAAAAGAATAATTATTGTTTATAATCTACTCCAGATGCCGCTATCCACCATATTCTGACAAAAAGTTGTCTTTCGTAAAACTTTTGCTAGCAAAACAGCCTAACATACCAGGAATTAAATACATTCCACATCTTTTAGCATTCAGTTTAGGAGTTCTTGTTACATATGGTGTTTCAACTGCTTTAAAGGTATATAAGCTGAAACGTATTTAATGCACCTACTAATCTGTGTAACAATTTGAACTATTATACACCGCATAAAATATTGCCGCACAATATTTGCAAATTTTTATAATCAATATTAATTATTTCGTTGAAAGTTAAATATTCTAAGAATAAAAACATGATTTGAACGCTTAGTTTTCATTCGTATTTTAATTAGAAAGATTTATCTTTAAAAACTTGACAGTTTAAAAAATAGGTTATGCTGAGAATGGTATATAATAGTTGAATTTCAAAATCATATATTGTTACATTTTTATATATTTTATTCATATAATTTTTTTTGTGTTTTTACATCATTTAACACTTAATGAATATTATTATTTATCATGTTAACTATTGGAGGCTAAATAAAGGCAATAAGTGTTGCTATATAAATCGCAATTATGTTATTCTCTCCTAACATTTAATTAACATATGAAAATACTTTTCAGGTTCAAGAAGAAAATTATTAATGGATTCCTCACAATATTATTATAAAACTTTGTTATCAATTATAAATTTTAAAACATTATTTATGTTAATTTTCATGTAATTCTTTTTTGTTTCTTATATATATTTTTATAAAATAATGTTATTTTAGTTTTTAATGTAAAACTACTACTAAATCGATTATTTTGTTGCCATGTAAATCACCGATTATTTAAATAACTGAAAATACAGATTGCATTAATCTTACTAATTCGTACCAAATGTATTTCTGCAAAAATTTAACTTATACTACTATAGTATAGTATTATATACTATAGTATACTACAATCTATATACTACATTTAAATAATCGTTGTAACATTATTATTACTATTAATGGAAGATAAATTATCTAAAAAAAACTGTTTTAAAGTTCATACTTTTTAAAATATTTCATAATTAACTTGAGCTTTTATAATTACATATTGTATTTTTTTAAGATTGCAATAAAATTTAGTATAGTGTATAAAATATACGTGTAAAATTGTTATCGCTGTGTTAATCAAATGTACAAAGAGCGTTTCACTTTTACAAAAATTGTGTACAATTTCATGAATGATAATTTTTATATATTGTTTATAACACGTTACATATAAATGTAATAATTTTTATATATTATTTATAATATGTTACACACAAATATAAATAAATTACATATAAAATAGTTGGCATTTGATGAATATTAACATAAAAAAAATTTCTTTAGAAAAAGTACTTTTTTCTAGTTTTAATTATTATTATTGTTGTTTATATGTAACAATTAACATACGTATATTAATTTTATAATGTACATAATTATAATACAAACGAATGTAGTCGATGCGGAAAAAAAACATTCATGCATAAAAAAAAGTGTTCATATGTTTATTGATAATAAAGTTTTAGTTTTTACATTATGTATTATCAAAGATTTGTTCATACATGTAATTAACATTTTTGAAAATACTAGTTTTGTTTCCACTTATAGTATAATGTCTGTTATATACATATTCTGTAATTTTATCAGAAAATTTAGTATCGGCATCTCAAATATTTCTTAATATGTCCAATATAGCATCGAAATACTTTTTCATATTTTACCATAGCAATTCATCTGCATAAATACATTAACAACCAAAAGTTTAACATAAATCACAGTTCATTTTCTTACCATTGAACTATTGCTTCCAAGTAACGGACATTTCTCCTCCTTGAGTACTATCGCGCTGTGGACTCTGTAACATTAAAAAAAATGGACTCTGTAAATTAAAAAATATTAATATTAATATAATAAAATCGTCATAAAATCTAAACGCAGTAAATACAATTACCTTAACTTGAATTTGTTGCTTCAACATTGCAGCCCTTAAAATTAACATACGTGTACGTCTTTGATACTCTTTCCCAACGCTCATAGACTTTTCAAAAGTTGTACTGCGTTGATCAACATCCTTTGCATATAGAATCTAAATTCATATAACAAAGCAAATAAAAAGAATGATTTTACAGAAATATTAAGTAATGACAATAATAATTACTTTATTATGAGAATCTATACGAGCTTGTATTTGACCATCGAGAATTAATAACATCAGTTCATCTTCCAATTCTGAAACTGTCCTATTAAAAGCAGTTGCCATACGTCTCATGTCTGCGCTTAAGTATGGACTAAAATATTGTATCAATGCTCTATTTCGAATTTGCGTGTATAATACATTAACATGTGGCGCTATATACATGTCCAAAAGTATATTATCCTTAATTTCATCGAGCAATTTTAAACACGATGCATACTTCGATTCGTAAAATTTGAAAATAATATCTCTTAACTGTGGTTCCAATTCTAAAAACAATTTAAACGAACTGCTAAAGATAACTTGCTTTTGTAATTCATGTCTATCAAATGTGGCCAAAGCACAGAGTCCTCCATAAAGAGCAACGTTTCCAGGAGACAACAATTCAGGGCAATCACAATGATCCAATGATGCCTGTAAAAAGTGTCTTGCAGCCATTTTGTATTTTCTAGTTGCTAATTCTGCTAAACCAGCTGCAACTTTTAATTTTGTAACTATAGATTGATTGTTGTCTTTGCCATGAACATCAGAAAAATCTGGTGTACTTTCTGCTTTTGTTACATAGCTCAGTACATGAGTCCAATTTTGCAAATAAACGGAAACTTTAATAACATTCAGACACATGTTAACAATATGTTTTCCACTAGTGCAATAATCCCTTGCTCTGGAATAACACTTCAAGGCATGGACAAGATCACCGCAATCTAGATAATGATCCCCTAAATCATCATGACCTCTTCTAATACTTTCCTTAATTGAATTACTTCTATAGTTTTTAAGATCTGTATCAAATTTCTCTAATTTCAGAGCAGCCTTTTTAGAACGAGTTTCAACCCAAGCTTGATCTAAAGTCAGCATATCCTGAGATGTTGACTGCGCTGCAACATCTGGTAATCCAGGCGTACCTACAGCTTGCACTAATTTTTTGTGTAATATGATGTACAAAGAAACGTTGTATGTTGTCATCACATAAGATATAGCCATTTTTAGTGCTTCTATTCTTAACATTGGACAGTGGTCAGCTATGTATATGAGCCTATATAATTTAGCAAGCCCAGTGTAGCTATTGGCATAGACTTCCAAATCCTATAAAGAAAGTAGAGTTATAGCAAGAGTTTGTCAGGACTATACAAATTTCTAGAGATTGTCATCAGAAACAAAAGATTCAAAAAGAAATGACATTTACCAATGTTGGATTTTCCACAATGTAGGGTTCTTCCTCTGCGTTATCATTATCTTCTGCAGGAGCATCGACTTGCATAGGCTCCACAACATTTTGCTATATGTAAAAAATATCATATATATGTCATCAAATTGTGTAAAAATAAAAGTTCATAATTTATCGTGCTTCAAACAATAAAAACATGAAGCGCGAAAGCAAAACTGACATAACAACTGTAATATAGAAAGGAAATATAACACGAAAAGTCAACAACATTCGAATTTGTCACGACTCTACCAGTGAAATATTCTATTTGCGTAAACAAATTACTACATAATTGTGCTAATAAATTACCTGAACATCATGAACTTGCAACGGCATGACAAACTTTCTCCTTTATATTAAATAGCCGAGGAACTACGAAAGAAAACAAAACTTATTACGAGAATAATATGCAACAGAGAACTAAGAACTATATACACATGTATACTCGACACAGTGCTGGCAACCTACAGCGATTAAATACCGTTGTGATTCTGTTCAGAGGGATTTTGATTTGCCTGGAATTGTTTTAAGTTTATCGATGCAAATTATTGTTTCAAACAAAAAAATCAATGATACAATAATTTATATTTCAATGAACTTTAATTGACCTAAGTACTTTATTCCGATTTTGAAGCAACTTGAAGTAGCCTGTTATCTGTCATGTCATATACATAATAATTTCCAACGAGTGCCAAAATAAATTCCTCTCTTTTCTTTGCTCTCGCACGCAAAAGACACGCACTTGGAAACAATATTGGAGAAACGATATTTTCGAAGCATTCCCGACATGTGTAACGTAGAAACATCTATTTGCGGTCTGAACTTTCAAACACTCATTTACGTATTGATCAATCGTGACACGGAAACTCTATGTTCTATTAGATCAGATCGAACATTTTCCAGGAAATAGAAAATAGACGAAAGAAGATTTTTAAAATGGAAAGCGTATTCAATTCGTTTCATGATATCATTTCCATTGATAACCTTGATACTTTGATATTTCATATACGTCCCAAAATCGACATGCGCTCGCTTTGATATTTTCAAATATTCATATTTCGTGCATTGCGAAAACTTACGAAGAAAACACGCAAATTTTAAATAACGTGCGTTATTTAAAATAATATTACTAATAATTATTACTTAAAACAATATTATACAATAAGCAACATTCTCTCTCCCATTTTACAGAATTGTAATCACTCTTCGCCGAAAGCAAAAGTTCGCCTCGTTTACGCAACGCTGATCGCGCGCGTATTAATTTCCATCTCGCAAACGAAAAATAATAATCGTCGGGAGAGTGATTAAATGTGTGCGATTTGCGCCTCGCTGCAGGAAATACGTATGCATACGTCCGATGGCCAATAAGTTTGGCAACGTGAAAGCACGCACTTCGAACGTGCTGAGTGTTTTCTAACGAACGCAGAGTGCGGTCGATACGATCGAACAGTAACGATTAACATGAAACGTAGCTAGGCTACCTGGTTTCAGAAGACGCGTGATGTCCGTCTAGCAGTCGTGTCCAATATGGCGTGTACACTGTGTGAATTGCATTAACGTGCAGGTAAGACTCGGTTGAATTTTTTTTCCTTGGTTCACGTCGGCCGAACAAACGAGAAAACCGAGAACTCGTGGACATCGCGGTTTTTCGTCTTTCGATTATTTGCGTATTCTCGTTCGCGTGACGATCGAACGGGGCTATCGGTGGAGCTGTTTCCCTAAAATATGTGAATCTCGTCAACCTTTGCACCTTCAAGGTTCCGTTCACTTGAGGTGCACTTATGATGACAGATGTGTCGTGTTGAAAACGTGCATCTTCAGTCAAGCTGTTTTGCGTGAGCCACGATCCTGAAAGAAAGGGAAAACGGAATCGACTAGTTTTTTTTCAAACGAGAACTCGGTGCGCGATAACATTTGCCTTCTGGCAACTGCCAGTTGGATCCTCCGAAAATAAAAATACCTCTGAATGATCGGAAGAATCAGAACAAAAGTCATCAGTGAACGAATCGTAGCACATCGACGAAGTTCTGATCGTTAATCATTCGCATCGGCTGTGAAATGTTGACATCTTCCAATAAAACTTGGACTGTTCTTTCGTCGCAACGCGTGACAGATATTTTGACATATTGGCGAACGTGCTGTGAAAATGGAGCAGATGCAACAACACTTTTGTTTTCGAAACGTTCAGGGACATGATCTTACGCATTTTTTTTTTAACGGGAACGTAAAATAGATAGATATTAAGAAGTGTATAAAGTAAATGTATATATAAATAATATAAAATTAAGCGTAGCGCCGTATCAAAACATGTGTGTCTTCAGCTGATTGATAAGTTAATCATTTTTAGAACGTTTTTTTTTATTACCAGCGTCAGTTTTTTTTTCTTTTCATTATATTCTTTTTAAAAAAAAATGAAGTTTAAAATAATTCAAAATAAATCGATATAATCCCAATGAATGAATAAACAAAGTTACAAAGATTAAAAAAAAAAAGTATAATTATTTTTTGTTTCTACAGGTTCTGTTCCTGCCTCTGGTGCAACTATCTTTTGTGAATAAAGGGAGATAAATACTGTAAATTTGTAATAAAACAATGTACAATGAACTACGGTGGGAATATGCCAGATTGGCACCAGTATAACACCTCGCAGACAAATGAAGTTACACCTTCGACGCAAAATGTTAATTCTGGTCACCTTGCATACATTCCTGGTGTCAGTCCATCGACACTGAATGCAATTAGTCTTAATTCAGAGGGTTTGAACAAACATCAGAACAATACTAATTACAATCCAAGAAATTATCAATCTTTCAACAATGTATCAAATAACTCGGCCATACCGAATAACAGTCCCCTTGCATCTATGGTGCAAATGCAGAATTGCATTGGCCATTATGGCTCTCCAAATACGAGAAATCCGATGTTGGATAACATAAATGCTTCTGTAGATCCTAGGAACACCACGATCGGAACTGTAAATGATGACATAGGATATAGAAGCAATCAAGGGCCTTTCAATGGACCTATTGGTCATTTAAATGGACCAAACTGCAATTTGAATGTGTCAACTGGACCTAGAACAGGACCTGGGCCTGTTCATGGAGCTAGAACTAATTCTGGACCAGGACTTGGAACCAATCCTAATAATGGAACTGGTCCTGGCCCTATGTACGGACCTAATTCTAGACATGGACCTGCATCAGTATCTGGTTCAGGTTCTGGACCTGGAAATATGGGGCCAAGAAGCACTAATGTCGGTCCACCACCACCTCCTGGAAAACCTGGACCATCTTCTTCATGTATTCCTTGTAAAGGAATGTGTTGCAATTCAGATCCAAACATTAATTATCAACAATGGGAGAAATTCGGATCCTATCAGAACAATGGTTCATACAGAGATAATGTGCATCCATCGAATTATCAAATTGAAAATAGACATTTCGGAAATAACTGTAATTTTAGGAAAGATAATCTAGATGGTAAAGAAGTAATGGGTCCTGTAATACCCAATGCGTCCACCGCAGATCATAGAAGAAACTTTGCAGATTACAAGTATCACAAAGATCATTTAGCGCATAGAAATTACTCAACATCTTCGGGAATGTTCCACAATTACTCCATGCAAGGTTACAATTATTCTACAGAGCACCAGAAGTATCCTTATCCTGTAAAAGAACACACAAAAACGAACAACATGAACGTGCAGAATTCAGGAATGCTTAAGCATCAGGAACAAAATTTCATGGCCCAACAAAAGTTCAACAATAAACAATTTCAGTATCAAAATGGGAACATGATACCCAAAGGGATCTCTACTTTAAATGTAAACGCGAATATGGCATCGTCTTCTCAAAACCCGTACTTCAACTCCCAATATCCGAGGAACATTTCCACAGAAATTTCTCACGAATGCCAAGAAACCACCGATAATACTTCAATGATGAATAGAATGCAGGGCACCCTTATACACAATTCTCCTTCACAACATCAAGTGTATCAACAAAAAATAGCAATGCAAAAATTTTCAATAGAAAATCACCTTCGAGAACTAGGTAGGATACCTGGTTATCAATCACACCCCAAATACAAAGAATGTATCCTCAGATACAGAGAAATATTAAAATTACAACAATCCTCTGGCTACCAAAGTCCAGTTCAACAAATTCCGCGTGTAGCAACACCGGCAAATACCTCAATGCCGCCTATTAATTTGCAGTTTGACCAAAATGGTATGTTAATAAATTCCAGTTATCTACCAGATAATTTTCCTAAGTTACAGCACGCGTCAACTGTGGAACAAGCACCGGAAAACATGGATAGGCAAACTAAAGACCAGGATATTGTCATGGATAACGAAAAATGCCAGCAGTCGCAGCAGTCACAGCAATTAATGATTCCTCAACAAAATGAACATGTTCCTTCCTCTTGTGCAGAGACATTTCAAAAGCAGAGTCAGTTCTCTATACACAAGGACTATAATCAAAATCAACTGAAAGTACAAACAAGCGAGAGTCACAGCTTTAATATTTTAAGTACTAATAGTAGCAACGAAACGATGCAACAGAAAACCTCTAAAGAGTTTGCTAATAAACCGGATTTAGACGTAAGACAGTTTCTGGCTAATTGGGATGAAACTGACGACGAAGAGGGAACGACGAACCTACCGGATACGATTCTGAGTGAAACAACTCCAGTTGTTGTGGTAAGCTACGAAAATATAGATCTTTCATCGAAAACACAGCAAGGCACCGAGGTTACAAGAAAAAATAGTTTCTGCTCGGACGAAACTTTAGAAAGTGGTAAAGATGGTAAAACAAATATAATAACAGCCCAAGATTGCTTGACAATATCGTATTCCTCGTCTGACAATTCTGAGATTCCTAAAACTTCTGAAAGAACAATTAGAGAAGGTGTGGTAAAGCCTGGAAGTATCATACATTGCATCAGCAATGGTCCTGATGAAATACCCACGATTCACATAGTGGACAATTTAGAAATAAGTAATATTTTAGGAACACCTAATGATCAAGTTATACAGACTTTGGAGAAGCAAAAGACAATACCATTTTTCAGAGAATCGAGCAACAATGAAACGATGGCTCTCGAAGATACAGAACAGGACAAGGATAGTGTTCATATATTGTCTGCTAATTACACCACATCTTTGAGTAATGTGGATAAGGATACAAATATAGAAGATTCCAATATTTCTGAAACAACTACAATTTCAATGAACAATCAGGAATTGAGAGTTTTATCAACTTCACAGAAAGATAATCTGGGCGTTAGTGATAATATGGAATTGAAGAAGCAGCATAGCTTTGAAGAATCTCATAATCCTGATGATATTAGTTTACCAGATTTACCAGAGTGTACGCCAATATCTACTACACTAAACACCCCTATTCATTCGGACACTGAAGAATCTTCACAGAACATGGAAGACTTATCAATATCCACAAATCCGATAGAAGTGATGCAAAACAGTCCAGTAATCAGTTTTACACAGCTGAACAGTGAGAATAAAGTAAAGAACATATCTCTTGGTACTATAGAGTTGGAATTTCAAAAGGAAAATCGTTATAAGAATAATGAGCATACCAATAGTGAGCATATGCAAGAGGTAGGCAATTTCGAATTGTCTGGCAACTTGAAGGCAAAATCGAATGAAGCGATTAAGAATAAACAGCTGAAAAATCTTGGGATCAATGCTGTAAGAAAAAAAGTGTGCTTGATAGATGGTAAGGAGAATAATACCAAAATTCTTGATACATGTGCTGTTTTAACGTCCATGGAGTATGAGCTGGATATTCGGCAAAAAGTTGTTGAAAGCGAGAAGAATTCAGATCGTGACTCTTCTGATTATACACATGAAAAAGAACACAAAAGCGTTAGTAGATCGACGGAAGCGATAAAACATGGAGTACAAAGAAGCGAGTCTGACGATAACATCGGTTCTAACATGAATTTAAGCCCAACGGTGTCTGATAACGAGTCCCAGCCATCAAAAAGCGACAAAGAAATGTTTAGAAGAAGAAAGGTAAAGACTTCAACTGTATCTACAAACACCAACTGTCTAATACCCTCTGAACTTGATCTAAATATTAGGAAAAGAGCCAAAGAAGCAACAACCTGGGAAGATAAATGCATAGACAAATACGTAGATAGAGATTTAAGTCAGAAAAGAGATGCTGATCACTTGAAACAATCAAAAGTTTCTGACACGAGGAAATTCGATGATTCGAGCTCATCCCAAGGCGGAGAGCACTCTGTGTGCCATATAACTTCTCAATATAAACACCATTCTGCTGCTGTGATAAAAGACATTTTAAGTGATAAAAAAACGCACGGCATCACAGACAGGATCATGAATGAAAAATCACCTGAGTTCCCAAGTAAGATGAACAATACAAATACCAAAGATCTTCCTGAAGAGGTGGAAATTAGAAAACGGCCATCCAGCAAAACAGTTTCAACGTTGCACGAAAGTATTCAGTCTCAGACTTCTAGGTTGTTGCAGAAAGATTTGAAAGGTGTCGATGGAGACGTCAGGTACACTGCAGAGGAAATGCGTTTGCTGAAAGAGTACAGAAAGAAGAAGGATAAGTTGTATCAGGCTTGTAATGCACACGATGATAACAAGAATGAGAAAACAAAATCTAAGAGCCACAAGTTAGGGGACAAGTTATGCTTGGAGCAGAACTCTATATCTTCAATAGTTAGTTTAAATTCAGAGAATTTGGCGACGCAGGAAGAAACAAAAAGCCACTCGTGCTCGAAAAGTTTAATAAAGAATACCGACTTCGGCATTCAAGTTGCCAATGTAAATTTAAAAATTAAAGACAACGATATTGGCAAGGAGTTAATCCTCGGAGAGAAGAGCCAGGAACACGCGAAAGACCCTCTGGAAGGGATTAAAATCGAAATCAATGTATCGTGCACAGATAGAAACGTGAAAGGGCAGGAGCAAAATAAACGATTACTGTACGATGATCGTAGCCTGTACGAAATCGACGATTCACTCTCTCACTCAAATACGTTGGACTGTCAACGTAAATTACACACCAAGGAACAACCCAATTCAAAGCTATCCGAAAGAGCTCACAAAGTGTTTGAGAAATCCGACGCGATAGTTGATGTTGTCGAAACGAATCAGAGTAAAAGAGAGGCGGAGAAGAATTTGAGAATAACAATCAAGAAAGATAGGAGAACTTCGTCAGAGGCAAACGAGGAAATGGACTCCATCGTTCCTAAAGAAGCATGTAGTTTAATTTCAGAAAGTCAGTCTTTCAGCAAATCTTCGCGCAGCAACATATTCTGTAAAGATGTATCGAAGGCCGAGGTAATCAAGGATAAGGAGAAAAGTGCAATATCAAATATTGCCACAGTCGATCCAAATAATAAAGTTAAGGGGAAGAATAAATCTGAGGACGATAAGGAAGGGAATCGTGCGCGTGAAAATGACGACCGAGTGGTAAGGATGCAAAAGCAAAGTTCCACGAGTTTCATGAATATTTCAGGCGTGATGGAAAAAGAGGTAGCAAGCGTACCTCATTCGAAAGCTTCTGTGAAACTGCAAGAAAGCAACTTTGTCGAACTAAGAAACAAATCGTTAAATAATCTGAATAATTTGGACTTGAAGTTTGGCAGGTATTCCGAGTTAGATTTAGATCGTGATCGTCGTGTCGCTGAGGAATTAGACGAGGATAAGTACTACACGGGTAAATGGAAGAAGCCAAAGATAGATGACATTTTAGAAGACTGTGACATGTTCCAAAGTAGCAGCGGGTACGTAAATCCGATATTCTCAAGCATAGAAAAGCTGGAGAATCTGCACACAGTTCCTGTATATACTACCAAAGACGGAAAGATATCCTATAGCCCTAATCGAAGATTCACCTATCATGAACTAATGATGGAGGCTCGTAGGCGAGAGTCCTATTCCTCTGTAAAGAAGGATACTTGGAACAGCTATTACAACTCGAAATTCCGCAAAATGAACAAGAGGAAACGGCATCATGATCTTAGCGACAAGAAGAAGTACGAATATAAGAGTACCAAGTGTCTTTATGATAGGAAAAAGAATTATTCTGATGAATTTTATGGCAAAAATCATGTTAAATATAAAGATTATATACACAGTATTAGAAACGATAATGCCATTTGGTCTGATCATTGTAAAATGGATAAAATGTATAGTAGCAGTGATTCTGATGATCAGATTATAGATCATAGCAAAAATCACATTACCGAGATAAATAATAGTAAGAAAGATCAGATTATAGAAAAGAAAGGTATAACTATCTCTAAATTACAGAAAGATGATATTTTTATCAATGAATTAGACCTAGAATCTAAGAGTAAAGAAAATGTAGCTGATAAACCTTTGAATAAAGACAAAGATATGGATTTAGAAGAAACACAAATGATTCAGTTTCAAATCCTTGATATGGAAGAGAATAATGAAAATTGTAAAAATGTTAATAATAATTGTGCAGATAATTATATATCTAGTGGACAATCGGATATTCCATCAACATCTGTACAATTGACTCAAGAAAAACAAACTGTGGAATATAGCGTTAATGAATCTTCAATATTAAATGATTCAGCAATCACGTCGGAAAATGTTCAAACAGTTGAAGACAAGAATCCGAGTAATCAAACTATTGATAAAATTGAAACTCTTAATAAAATTAAAAGTGAAGAGAAAAATGTAGTTACAAAGATTGAATTGCTTAATAAAGCATCTTTATTGGATGAGCGAGTTAGTTTATATGATCCTGAAAGGAGAAAAGATGATGAAAAAACTATTTCAGAGGTAGATATTACAGAGCAAGAAGCAGAACAGAAAAAAGAAATTAACATAAATGTATCTGATAGTCAAACTTTTCTAGAATCTGAAAATAGCTTTGAAAATATAAAAGATACAGAAAGTAATAACAAATCAGAAACTAATCAAGTTGACATGGTTGGCATATTAGAGTTTGAAAATGACATAACAAAAAAGGTTTTAAATCCTCAAACAGATTTTAATGATATGTTTGACCAAGTTTCACAAGAATCTTTGGACTTAGAAAGACAAAAGGACACATTTAATGAAATTGTTGAAGAATCTGAAGAGAATATTAATGAAGAAAATATTTTAGAGTGTGAAGAAGAGATTGTGCAATTTAGTGAAGAAGTTGAAATTCCAAATGAAGAAGTTGTAAACAAAGCAGAAAAAGAAGATAATGAGTATTTAGAGAATTCAAATAATGATAATTTGTCGACAGACACTTCTGCAATGAATCAAGAGGAATCCGAATCTCAGGCAATATTAACAGAGAAAATAATTGATCAAGGAGATAATTCAAAACACATTTCTGTTGAGCCTATTCAACATCAAGATAATATTGATATAAACTCTGACCAAATAAATACAATTACCGAAGAAAAAAATTTTACTGATTTTTCAAAAACTGAAATTTATCTTGAAGATGAAAATATTACAAACAATATTACAGATATTGTATCAAGCAAAGGTGAGATAGAAGTTATTCTATCAAACATAGAAGAAATTTCAGTGAAACAAATAATAACTGATCATTTAAAAAATGAAAGTGAACCAAATGATTTGCCGACTATCCTTGAACATGAAACAAAGTCCGATCAAGACACTTTTGAAGATAAAGAGATGCATATTCTCGATACATGTTGCTCCATTAAAAACTCTCTAATTACAGATGTCGAAAGTAGTAAAGATAAAACTGAAGTGGATGAACAGAAAGAAGAGCAAATTACTCTTGAACAAGTTCCTTGCAAAAGTTTGGCTCATTTTTCAGATAGCAATATCGACATGAAAACAATACCTAAACTGGTTATAAAGAAAACTGATACGCCAAATTCGAAATCGGCTTGCTCATTGGATTACACAGAAATTTCTGAAAACTGCGATAAATACGATGCAAAATTATTATCTGAACTACATCCAAAAATACCAAAAGTGATTATCACTAAGAATAGATCACGTTCAGCAACTCCAGTTGAAATTTTTCAGAAGACTAAATCTGATAAAATGCAATTTGTTCTTCCAGAACAGAACGATGAAAGCATGGATGTGGATAATAGCAGTTTTGAATCATACACTTTAAAGTACAACAATTGTGAGAATAAAGTACCTAAGGTGAGGATAAAGTTAGAGGATATATCATCTAAGGATTTAAAAATGTACTTGAAACGCAAAGATACTAAGAAAAGAATTCCAAAGATGAGAATCAAAAAACTTAAAACGCAAGAAAGTAAAAGAATTGAAACGAAGGACAGTTCAGGAACAGAAGGCACCGATTCTGATGAAAATAAGAATTTTCACGAATTAATGTCCAGTGATACAGAAATTGAAAGAACACCGAAATCAAAGTTAAAAAAACAAGAAGACAGATCTTGGTCACCTGAAAAAAATAAAGGGAAAAATTCTAATATTCCTAAAAAGACTAAAAGAACAAAAGAAGAGGATTCAAAACACACTGCCAAGTATGATACGGCAATTAGTGATGAATTAAAGAAAAAGTTTCCTCAATGCATCATTGAAAAGATTCCCAAGGTTATAATAAAAAGGACTCAGATTGGTACAGAATTTAAGTGTGAAATCAGCAAAAGTAAAAAGACTTCGATCATTGAAACATCTAAATGGCAACCAAAAGTAAAATTACAAAGATTAGATGTTCTGGATCATATGGTGAAAGATCTAAAGCAATCAAGAATCACATTAAGCGATAAGTTTGATTTGTCTGCAAGAATGAAAAATATTAACAATGAGGATACAATTGACAACAGTAAAGTAAAATTATCGAGATCTAATTCGGTGTCTAATTTGTCTCCTGCTAAATACAAACAAAGAAGATTTTCAGACTCTAGTTACATGAAAGTTAACACAAAGTCGAACATTGAATTCGAGAATAATTTAGATGAAACTGATAATGCAGCTATTTTTAAATCAGATGATAGTGAAAGTAAAAATATTAGGAAGAAAGAGAAGAGAAAAATATTCTCTGAGAGTAAACAACTATATCATAGTCAGAATAATGAGAGCGAAAGTGAAATGGGAGAAATTATAACGAAACATTCTTTTCGAAATATTCTGACGAACGAAGACAACGATATGATGGTTGTGAAGAAAGAATACTCGTCTTTTGACACCAAGGAGAGCACACCTCTTATAGAAGACAAATTTTTAGACGCTGCCATCCGTTCGCATAATTATAACGATAATAATAGTTCTATAATTAAAGTCGATTCCTCAGATGAAAGTCAAACTACAATAGAAATTTTGCCAGCATCACCGAACAGCGATGATGAAACTAAGAATTTTGAATTTGAGAGCTTCAATAGAATGGATATGACAGACGCAATGCCAACTCAATTGGAATTAGAATTGGAACTTATTGACAATAACAACACATGTTCTGAAGTATTTATGTCAGAAATAGATTATGCATCACATTCTAAAAGCAAGTACAGTAATGAAGGACCAACTAAGACGTTCTTCAATGAATTTCAACAAAATACCTTTGATCAAAATAAATATACTTTCTTAATGAAGAAGCAACATTTTGAAGGAAATACAAATGATAATTTTTATTGCAATGACTTGTTAATTAAGGAAGTATTAGCTGCTAAGGAAACGTTAAAAAAATGTTTAACAAGATCTGAGACTGAAGATGTGGAAAGATCAACGTCACAATCTAAGACCGTAGCTGAAAAGAAACAAGGCTTAAGTTTCAGTTTTAAGGATCTTGGCAAATCCTCAGACAAATCTGAAGAAACATGTTTCAGTAGTCAGAATAATAAAATGAAAATAGGTGATTTTCCCTGTGATATGGAGACGGAGGAGGTTGAAGAAGATTGTTTCAAGCAACATGAAATTTATTCTATAGACTGCCCTACAGTTTCTATGCATAGAAATAGTAATATACCAGATCCAACTACAATTTCTTTGAAATCTTCTAAGACATCCATGAATAATTCTGATTTATCAAACAAATGCAATAGCAATGCAGAAAAGTTGCAAGAGACCAAATCTGTGAAGAAAATTAATAGTAGCAGTGACAGTCAGAAAAATAATGACAATTCAAACAACACAAAGGTGAAAGAAAACAATATGCCATTATTAGTACCAGAGTTTGTTTTAAATTTTGATTCCGGCTCAGATAGAGATAGCTCTAGATCTCCGCCTGTTATAACAAATCAAGAAGGAGTTGAACATGTAGTAGAAGATGCAAAATTGGTGGAAAATAAAGTGATAAGTCAAATTGAGAAGATAGAAGAGAATAAGAAACATTCCTATAAAAACTGTGAAATGACCATTGCTGATATTATAACACAATTAGCTTATCATGAAAAGGTAAAGATCACTATTTTTATTTGGTACCAAAATTTTTATATAGTTACAAAATGAAATTAATTTTAATGGTTACAGGCAACAATAAAACATAAAAAATACTGTAATTTGTGTGAAAGATGGTTTCCTACAACTTCGCGACATCGTCGGCATTTAGCTGGATACCAACATCGTTATATGGAATTAACCCAGCGTAAAAGTATTCACGCGCTTTTTATTCTGTTTACTGGCAAACCTTGCCCAAGACTTTTGCCAGCAAACGTAATTCGCAATGACTGTTCCATAGGAGAATTGACGCCTTTGCAAATTGCTGTTCAGGTACTATTATGCTTCATGTACTATTTCTTTATCATGAATTTCGAACTACGAATTTCATGCATTTTATTTTATCAATTATACATTTTATAGGATGTTGCAAAATGCGTTGAATATATACAACAGAGTCATAAAACGAAAGAATAACAGTAACAAATTATTATATACAAGTTACTTTGGTTGCATAGATGCATTTCCTGTGATTACCTATATTGGAACAATGTGGTGTGATGTGAGTACTATAAAAAATGTACTATAATGATAAACACAAAATGAATTCTATAATTCTTTTAATCTCAATGGAATTGTACAACTTTAGTATGATTACCATTGAAATTGATAATTATACTGTATACTATTATGAATATACATATACATATATAAAGACAATGAAATTAACATCTATGAACTTTGCAAAAAAAAAGCTTTGTTGATTGATGTTAATTGTTAAAAGTTACTTGAAAGAAAAGAAATTACTTTAAGTGGTTAAATATTTAGCCAAAGATCATAACAAAAAAAATAAATAAATATATATGTTAGATTATTTATAGTTTTTGAAGACTACACAGTCTTTTATTTGTACAAATGAAGATATGAATAATATCATAGATAAATGTGCATTATAAATTTTTATTTATATCATGAAAAGACTTATATATACAATGTATAAATACATATATATATATATATACACACACCCACACACACACACACGCATATATATATATTTATTCTTGTTTAAAAAAGAATATGGACCTTTGCAATGTTACACAGACCTAAATCTCTATATATAGTTATATTTATATAAAATTATATATTTGAAACAAGGGTAGCCAAAAGAAAAAAATGACTATATATGTTACAAGATAAAATGAACTATGAAATGTTGGAATGTCTATAATTTATACAATAGAAATTAATGAACGGTAAACAATGTAATTTTCAAAACAGATAGAACAATATGTAAATTTGTCAAAAATATTATACCAATTACTGTGATTTTAGATCAAATTTCTTTATCCTAATTATTTTTAACAAGTATAAGTTAATTCTTTATAATAATTCTTTATTTAAAATTCTTAAAAAAATATGATTTGTTTAATTGATAAATAAATAGTAACATCTCATAGTTCAGTAAAAAATCTATACATAATATAAATAATGTTCACTCTCCTGTCATGTGTTTATATTTGATTCAAACTAATCAGGTGTGCCTAATGAGTTATTGTTTATACAAGTAACAAAATTTTTAATTGTTTTTAAATGTTATAAATGTTTCTCTTATTATTGTATTGATATATGCATATTGGGAGTAGGAAAGATCCTTAATGAACAAGTTCCTGATTATAAAGCGGAATGAAATAAATATATTTCTTGTTAAGAGGCTAAAAAACAGCTCCTATGCTACTACAGGGTTAACAGACTATATTTACGATTGTTTTATAATTTTTGTTTTCCTACTTTACATTCCAAAGAATAAAAATACAATGAAAGTCATTTTATTAAAAAATCTAGTTTAATCATTGAATGCAACCAAATAAAAGAAATATATAATATATTTATATATATATATATATATTATAAATCTATCGATTGTTATTCCACTTAATGTTTTGTTTCTCATCAATTTGTTTTAACTATTTCATATTTTATTTGCACGAGTGCCTTAAAATACATCTAACAGTATTTGTCGTATCGTGTTATACAAGATTAAATGAAGCTATATATTTGTAATATTCTTGTATAATATATGCATAATATATGCTGCAATTATGAGAACATTAAAAGAAATATACCATTACATAAAAACTATTACATAAATAATTTTTTTATAAATATGTGTACATCATCTTTGTTTTGCAACTTTTACTGTAATTTTAATAAAAAAATTATCTAGAGTTGCATCTCTTAAAATAAGAGATTAATATATAATTAGAGAGAGATTAATATAATATCCTCGCAAATAAAATGTAAAATAAGCTTTATATGGTGGTATAAAGTAAAAAAGAATGTTCTCATGATTAAAGTTTTGTTATGCAAATATTTTATATCATTGTGTGTTCTATGTGCCTAAATTTTAAGAAATTTATTATATGCATCTAAAGTTCAAATATGCATAATATTACTTATATACATTTAATGTAATATAAATATGCATCACACTGTATGAAGAAAAGGTTTAAAAGTTTTTATAAAAAATTGTATCAGTTTGACTTGTATGCTGTGCTTTATAAAAATTGTTTTGAGTGTTTAATTGTGGCTATAAGACATCTAAGTAAATTACGTACATCAAAAATATAAATAATATATCAATTTACATCGTATGATATTAGAATTCATTAGATTTGAATATTATAGTTTCTTCATCTAAATTTAACTATTTTGTTATATAAATTAAAGAATGAGAATATTCTTAAGGAATAGAATTACATCTAACATATGCTTCATTTAGATAAGCTATGGTTTTTTAGAAAAATTCTATTGTTGACTTCCAATAATGTAAATTATTATAAGAATGCACTGATTTCGATTTTCATTTAAAAAATTCTATTATTATATTAAGTTAAAAAAATTCTTTCATTTTTTTAATATGGATTATTTAGTTTAAAAATTAAATTTTTATGTATACACATAAATTAAGAATCCATTTGTAAATTAATTATAGAAGTGGGTCCATACAAACATTTATGAATTAATGAAAAATATTTTCGTAAGTCAATATTATATATATATATATATATTTACCCATTTACTTATGATTCATAATTTTTTTATACATTTAATCATCACATATAATGACACAATTCAAATGGGCAGATCTGTATAGAAAGATAAGTGCAATTGTATATTTTTACAAAGTTTACAAGTGATAATTCCATAAAAAAATATTAATTTTTAAAATGGTTGTTAACTGTGCAATTCTAAATCAAATAAATCATTTATACAGTTCTGCTAATTTTATACACAATGTGTGATTAATATAGAATACTTGTGTGGGATACATTACAATTAGTTCTAAGTGTGTCATAGATTTGTAACACTTTTTTCAATTTTAAAATTTTGAAAAAAATGATGATTCAATATTTCTAAAAATTTGAAAAAAGTTTAAAAAGGTAAAATTTACTAAAATGTTTTAGATATTACATGAATAAATTTCGGAATATTTTGAAATGTACTACAAAGATGTTACATATCTAAACACTAAAAGCATTCCATAATTAGGTTAAGAAGTTTAATTAATAGAAATAAGAATTGTAAGAAACAATAGATTATTTTCTGTTATTGTACTTAGGCTACAGAAATGTATGCAAAATTCTAGTTGACATTAAAGAAACAATAAACAATAAAAATTATCATGTATGTACTGTGTCTGTTTTTTAATCATATATATATATAATTTTTTTTAACTTTTTTTTACTCCTATATGTCCCTATTTTTTTACTGGTGCGACTATAGTGTATTATAATACTATAATGTATTATATACAGAAATTATAATAAAATGTAATATTTATAAATTTACAATTAATACTTAAAAATTATTAAAAAATACATACATTAAATATACATAGCAGAAACATTTATTTTCACTGCGTTATTGCATATTTAATTGTTATCAAATATAAATATGTAAATAAATACTAAATATAATATAAATGCGAATAAGTAAATTCAGCAAAATTTACATATCTTTATATTTAACTTATCGAATTCATTTATTTTGTGAACATTCGAGCTATTTATTGTAGAATTGAATTTAATTCTTATACACAGTTTTCAAATTTCATTAAAAAAATATTAATATATATTATTCCGCTTATACTTTCAATTTTTATTAGATTATTTTTTAATATTTTTGTAACATATTTAATTATTAATTTTACCGTCATCTTCGGGCAATTGACTAATTTAATCAGATAACATATAAAGTTATTGATCAAATTCGAAAGGTGGACAGGCATGCGCGTTTTTCTTGTAAATGGCAAGAGGATGATGTTTTACAAAAATTTGCAAGTGCTTTTCCATTTTTTTACGGTCTTGTTATACGTGTCCGGTGAAACATCAATGAGGAAAAATGAAAAACACATCAGCCTCAGAAACAATTATCAGATGTGCCTCGACGCTTTTAAGATCCACGAAGATAAAATTATTCGAACGCAGGAGTCCCTAGACATGGGTGCTAAGTATTTAAAGGAATTTGATGTTAATTCTAGAGAAGAATGTTTGAAATTCTGCTGTGATACAGAAAGTTGTGACGTGTTTATTTTCGAAGAAAAGGTACAGATAATTTTATACAAAATAAATAAATGATTAATTAAAAATGATATTTTGTTTTAAATAAATCTTTCATATTCCACTAATGATAAAATAAATTAAATATCGCATAGAAACCTGGAAGTTGTTACCTTTTTCAATGTGGCCCGTTGCATGATTTCAAATGTAAATTCACAAGTCATGCTAATTATAGTAGTGCAGTACGTAGTAACTACAATACACATAGCAATTCACAATTGGAGAAGGAAAGTAGGATTTCTCAACAAGAGCATGAATTGAAATCTCTTAGGTATGTAATTATTAACATTCGTAATGTTTGGATAATAAAACCATAATATTCTGTATATGTAGAAAATTGGTGGAACCAGCACCAGTAGAATATTCTTTCACAGAATCTCCCATGAAATTAATTGTGACACTGGCACCAAAATTACCATTAACAACATCTCCACCTATTAAACAAGGTATGTGCAAATTTAAGTTTAAATTTATGATTTGACAAGACAAAAGAGTAATAATGTACATGTTTAGTTTGCACTAGGAATCAATATGAATGTCGTTCATCTGGAGATTGTATAGCAGTATATAATGTATGTGATGGTATACCACAGTGTGCTGATGGATCTGATGAAGCAGCAGATGCATGTCCTACAGAAAAACCAACAGTTTTTCCTTCTGTGATTCAAGGAGCTCAACCACCTCTATCACCATATCAACAGATGATTGATCGACATAAACCTTATGCTCCACTGTATCCTCATATTCCAGAAATTAATTCTTGGAAACTGCCTAGTTTAGCTCAACAAATGATTCCACCTCACCTCCTGTATCCAGCTCGACAAATGGAAGGTGCTCCAGGATATCAATGGGATTATCAACCCATGTATGATCAAAATAAAGGCATTTACAATTCTTATCGCGAGCAGGGCAATTTAAATCCTTCTGAACGTGAGTAATATAGTTAAAAAAACGATTATTTCATGAATGAAATGGAAGTATTTCAATTGTTTATTATTTTCAGAAGATCAGCTACATATTTTTAATCATAAGGGACCTAGTGTAATAGGGGAAAAAGAATCTGATGGGTAAGACATCAAATTGTGATTTTTAAGAAAGATATTAGTGAGTATATTTAAAATATTAAGTAATTATATTTAATCTCAAATTATTTCAAATTGTGCAGTGGTACATATTTAGATGTAAAACACCCTTACACATCGTATTTTCTATCATCGAACAGAGGCCTATGGCCTAACAATCAAGTTTATCCATCTTCATCTCCATCTCCAATATCGAATGTACAACAAAAGCAAATAATTGAAATAGAAAAGAATGTTATCACAACAACACCTCCTTGTGATGTAAGTAATCTCCTTTAATTTTAAATTTTATCATGATATTAGCATTACATTACTTTCTCAGACTTCACACGAACAAAAAGATGTTCCATTAAAAAGTCAAGAAATTGGAAAAATCGGTCAGCAAAGGGACGAACGTACACACGAAAAAGAAATTAGTCAGAATAAACAAAATGCACTAAAAAATGAAACTCTGAAATTTAATCATGTTCAAGCAAAGGAAGCGAAAGGTATGCTATTAATGAATATTATTTTTAGTCTAAAGTTTTATTATAATTAATTTTAAATATATTCATTTTAGAACATAAAAGTGTAATAGTTATAAAACATCATAGTAGAGAGCACGGAAGAAATACAATTGCAGAGCATTTGAAACAAGCAAATGAAAATGAAGTTTTAAAGCCTAGGGGAGCTGTCATATCGCTGGCTTTAGGACTCACAATAACAGCTATTACAGCTACATTAATTGCTTGCCGATTGCGAGTTGTTCAAAGACGCGGAAGACGACACGGACCATATGCTCATGATGCAGATTATTTAGTAAATGGAATGTATCTTTAAGTAAGTATACAAATTTCTTTAGCCGAACGAATCTAGTCATATTTTCATACTATTGTAAATGACAATGTAATAAAAACTATTTTGTCTTAGTTGTTTTATTTTTAAACTAATTGAAAAATGAAAATGTTTTTAGAGATTTGTATTTGCTTTGTATTTATAAGATTTGTTTTATCATTTTATGTGTGATAGATATTATGTAAAAACAATCGTACTGAATTTACGAATGTGCTGTAAAATTTATGTTTTCACGACGAGTATTAAAGCGTTTTGTAAAACAAATTGAGTAATTTATATTTATCAGATCATTATTCTAATTTGTAGAATAATATTTGGTTTTTGAAAAATATTGACAATACAAAAAAAGAGATTAAAAATTTTTGAATAGAATGAGTTCTAAGATAAAGCGTAATACGAAAATTTACTTTGAAAAGATTTTAATAGATTTAACGATGCAAGCGAACGCAATAATTCATACAGCCTTGTTTAAGAAGAGAGAGAACTACCAGCTTATAACAAAATTATATTTATATATAACTTTTACAACCATACAATGCAAAGGTACATATGATTCTTGATGATAGAATCATTGTTTTCAAGATTATAGTAATTAGCTATTCCAAAAAAAATTGTTACTATGTCGTTTTTATACCTTAATTGTATTAACAAAGAAGCTAGATATCAAAGTATTTCTAAAAAGAATTGTTCTCTTATTTCATATTAACATATGTTTCTAGACAAAGGATACATGTAGCACGTACATTTACAATTAGATTAATCTATACTATTGGATACAGTGGAAATATATAAAAATTGTTACATCATTACAATTGTATTATATATAAAACATTTTCTGTACTTAATTTTCTTTCTAAATACTATGATATTATTGATTTAACCAAACCCAACAACTTGTATAAAATATTAACAAAATAATGGAAGCTTTAAATACTTTAAATGCTTTTCATTAACATTTCTTCTATGTAACTATTTTCAGTAATACTAAAATATTAAGTTAACTAGAACTTTAAAAAAGTTTACTTAGAGAAAGGAAATAGTTTTTAAAATTTTTTTATATTTTATGGATAACTGATCTCTTAATATAATTTTCACTTAAATAAATAATTATATTTTATTTAAAAAATCAAGTTTTAATTACACGTAACGCTTTTCTCCAATATATATTTTATCAATTGTATATCTAAAAAAATTATTTTAGTACTATTTTTTTCAGATATGAATATTAAATAATTGAAACAAATTTACATTTTCGTTAAAATAAGAAATGTATACATATTTATTTTAAAAAATTGTATCTTATTTTTTATTTGAAAAATAAACAAAATGAAAATAATTTCAATTATACGCAACAAAATGAAAATAATTTCAATTATACGCAAAGTAGTTTCATTATTGCAATACTAATAAATAAAAATTATTATGATCAATGGGACTGTACTTATGTTCAAAATGAAATAAAAGTACCACTTAATAATATTGAACATTATATTGTGTGCAACTACTGTCTGCCGGTAGCTGCTGCATTTTGTTGTGCTTGTATGAATTCAGGATAATCAATATATCCATCATTATTAATATCATCCAAAGAAAGTATTGGATCTATTAAAGTAACCAACTCCTCATCCCTAAATAATTTCTGTCCAGGATTAGTTCCACCTATCTCTTTGTTGTTTTCTTGTTCTAAATATAAAGAGTTTGTTACATTCTTCATATCAAAAGCTAATAATTAAATTTAATAATTAATTGATTACATACCATGCCAATGAATTAAGGATTTTATGAGCTCAGAACCATCTAGCTTGTTATTATTGTCTGCATCATGCATTTTGAAATAATGAAACTGTAATTCCTGCTCTGTCATTTTAGCAGTATCTATTGGAACTTCTATATGCTCTGCAATATGACTGCAAAAAGTTTTTTAATAACTAGAAACTTTAAGTGAATAATATTGATGATTTTAAATCCATGTATAACGTACGCTTTTTCATGAACTATGTTGGCAGCATTAAGTATTGGTTGTGAATGTTCATGCCCATGTCCTCCTTGTTGAATTGGTACTTGATGAGTTGGCATATGCTGCTGTACAGGTACTTGCTGAACTGGAATTTGCTGGATTGGTACTTGACCTGGTACTTGCTGGAACTTCATACAAATTTTATTTATCATAATTATTTACAAAAAAGTTGAGCTTGTTTCAAACATGCATTAAATATAACATAATACATTGTGTTGTGAATTATATTTATTAATGATTAATGATTAAAAATTAAGAGATACTAGATCTCTGATATTTCTATGTAAATTTACCTGTTGTTGTGGAATTTGCTGTGGTACTTGATGTACTTGTTGAACAGGCTAAAACAAATTGAATATAAACTAATCTCTGAATGAAACAGTGATTAAATAATTAATTTCCTAATAATAATAAAATGATAGACAGAAACCTATAATGAAATTTCAATGTAGCAACCATATGTTTGATTATTTTAAGAGGAACATTTACTTGTTGATAATGTTGGGGTGATACACCTGGTGGAATTCTTTGTTGAGCGTGTGTATATTTACAAACAAAAGATCCGAATATAAAAAACCACAAAGTCCAATTCATATTGCAATATTCTGCAACAAATACATATGTTTAATTACATACTTGATGCATATCACAGAAATAATACGCACGTATTATTACACTTGGCATTATTGATTTAATCTCTTAACTACGGAAATGACAAAAAACAAAGAAAATTTCTCGTAATACCTTATTTATGTTATTCAATATATACAAAAATTAACATGCACGCAAGTGTCTTGTTCATTGGCGAGATTATATACCGGATTATGAATTTCAAGGTTATGTTACAAACTGACGTGGACAAATCTGTTACTTTCTGCCATATTTGTAAACTAAAAGCTTAAAATATGATGGGAGATATTAACGAGATAATCGTTAGTAAATATTTTCTATCGAAGCTTACGCTAATTTGAAATAAACATCATAACACAGAAATGAATGGAGTTTTAATTTTTAATATCTTGATCTGAGATAAAATTATGGATTAAGATAGGATTAACAAAATTCTATTTGAATTTTAATTTTTTCTTTTTTAACAATAGAATATAACGAAAAATATCGCTTAATTTTAATTTTTTAAAAACTAGTCAAATAGTAATGTAAATGTAAAAATCATTCGCAGCCATGGCTCGTTACATAGCATTTCAAGCTATAACTTTGAAACTTATCGGCCAACCCGCATTAAATATTGGAAATGCACAACATATGAATCTAAATTTATTTTATTCTATATAGGTATTGTACTTTAGAACAGCGACAAAAAAAAGTATGTTTTTCATAGTTGGATATTGAACTTCTGGGGAATATTCGGATACCTACAAATGGGCATTAAAACATTTTTTATTCGTACGTACGTATTCGAACTACATTTCGATAAATATTAGCATTGATCGTTCGAATGTATAACAAAAATCGAAATAAACCTTTGTAATATATGCATATTTTATTGTAATTCAAACTTTAGAATGAACAATATTCCATTTCCAGTCAGTGAATTTATCCCGCCGTTGTGAGGTTCGTACTTTCACAATGGCGGAAAAGTATTACACTACTCAGTATCAAATTTGTAATGTGATTTTAATATTTTAAAAAATTCTGGAATAATTCATTGTCGTGTTAAGCTGAAAGGAAATCGTATGATTAACAAAGTACCCGTAAATCAAGTACTTTAAAAAGGTTTAATCGTCTTAGTGGGTATGTAATTACACGATTTCGTTGATTTTAGCACTAATTTTTGTTTTATACGATTTCAGAATTCAAAAATTTATTCTCTTATACTTTTTTAATTTGTCTCATGTTATTACTTGTATTAAAATAAATATATTAGCATATAAAATATTGCGTGTTATAAATAACCCATAATTTGAGATACATTTTTAATATCTTCATTTTGCTTCAAGTTTTTATTTCCTTTTTAAATATTTTCTATAGTTTAATTTCAGACAATTAAAAAATATACGTCTTGATGTTTTTTTTATACTTTTATGTAAATAAATTTAATAAACAAACTGTAAACTGTAAACTATATGTATGATAATTTCGTGACGTATTATTTCTCTCAGTTGTCATTACTTTTTTGTGAGTTTTGTATTTTTTCGGTATTTCTTTCATATTTTAGAAACTCAAATAATAAATGGAAAATGCCTCAGATACTAAGACGAAGAAAAGCTAAAAGATCACAAAAGAGGGTATTAGTTAAAAAGAGACATTTTTTAACAAGTTTCCATGAAACTAAATCTTACAAACCATGTGAGTTTTGTGAAAAGTATATGTTTGCAATATATGTAAGTATATATTTTTAATATATGTAGAATTAATAATACAATTTGATTTTTACAGTATGTAAACAGTTACAAAATAATAACAACTTATTGGCAAAAGCACTATCTAAAGAGAGACATGAAAGTCAATTATTATTTTCTCAGAATGTTGCTTTAATTGCTGAAGTGCAAGATTTAGGTTTAGCCTGTAATAAACGTGATGTAAGTAAAGTATGTTAAACACAAAGATATTTTGTCATCTTATTAAAATTATATAAAAATATATTTTCAGGCTATTATATCAAATGTTCTAAAGAATGCTAAAGAAATGCTTAAAATGTTAGTAACAATGACTGGTTACTTGACAAATACAATTTCATCTTGTCAAGAATTTGCAGAATCTGTTACTACAAATATGCAAATGTCTTATAACTCTAATGGACGTAAGTTTCTTAATATATTATTTTTTATATTATATAAGTTCAAAGATAAGTCTCTAGAAAAGAAAATTCTTTCAGAAAAGGAATCATTGAAAAGACTGTCAATAAAATCTCCAACTAGAGGAGTAGTGAAACCTATGGTGAGCGGTTACACCATTACAAAACCCACCATTAATTTAAGTAGATTAAATATGCAACATATTAATAATTCGTCAAACTTAAGTATAATACCAGAAATAAGAACACCACCCCCTGGAAATCAAGAATTAAACAATTCTATTTCTCCTAGTGGTGTCTCTGTAAGACGTACATGCGTAAGTATTTTGTAAAAAAGTTCTAAGTTTGATAAAATTTGTTTGAAAAATTATATTATGTTCAAACGAATTAAATACTGCAGAAAAATGGTCGCACATACAGAATGCCTGAAAGATTAACTGCTATTTCACCAAGAGATAGTGGTATGTTCTTTTAATATCTCATATTAGCATAATTATAAATTGATTATGATTTTAAAGTTGATATTAGTTATTCATATTCATTTTTAGATGAAAGCGAAAGAAGATTCAGTGAGAGAAATAATGGGCATTCTACTGGGAAAACGTCAGAAAGAATGTCAGGAAGAATGTCAGGAAGAATGTCAGGAAAGCTTTCAAAATCGAAGTCAAGGTTGTCGAGAAATAATAACTCTCGATGTAGTATTGAAAATTTCGAATACATAGGAAGTCCCAGAGTAAAACTTAATGATGTATCGAAATTATTGCAAAATTCTCATACTATTAATATTCGAATGGTTTGTATCGTCAGTAAATATTTTTTTTCACATGAAGTTAATTTTCATGTTGATTAATTATTACTTTTTATAGTTAACTGAGAACCAGAATAATCAAGTTGATGGATCGAAATGTAATAGTGTAGTAAATCCTGAGGTTTCTCAGACAAAAATTATACCAGTAACTTCCAATGGTTCTGAAAACAATAATGATAAAACAACCGAGAACAAAAATGAACAGAGTAATAATGAACTGAATACTACTAATGAACATTGTTCGTCAAATTGGGAGGATCCTCTTGAAGGACCAAGTTGGTTATTTAATAATTCCCAAGTCGTGCCTTCTTTTAGAAGTAAAGACAAAAAGACTGATGATATAAATGTTTCTAATGATGATAGTATGAGTTTGGTATTAACAGAAAAAGAATCGAGTAATGTATTTGATAACGATAAAACTATGCAAGAAATGTCAAGCAGACGTGCAAATCATGCGAATAACTTCGAGAATAGTGAACAAGTGAATAATGAAAGTGAACCTAATGTGCATGAGCGCAATGAGAACAACGAAATATGTAACGAAATTGTAGTGGCAGATACAAATGACAATGAATGTAAGAGTGCCCCTGTAATAAATTTACAAAATTTCATTACACAAAGACGAGGTTATTTCGAAAGTGAGGATGAAGATGATTTTACATTGATGTATACAAAGCAACCACGAAACATGCATTTCGATATAAATGACTTAAAGTTGCCAGTTCTAGAACAATCTGCTCTGAAACCAATAACTCCAGCTGAACCAGAACCAGAAATAACGACTACCCTTCGAAAAATATCCGAAATTTGTCCAATGCCGTCGGTTTCGCATAACACTTTGGACGAATCTGCATTTAATCAGTCTACCGTGAAACTGCCACTGCTTCTGAATGATGATTATGAGGATGTAGAGTCGACGTCAGTAAAAAAGAAATCAAAAATGTCGCAACAGAAGAGGAAAAAGAAGAATGAAACTGCGGCACAATCTAATGATTTTGTTGATAATACACCACCGTTCAAGAAAAATAATTCTTACAAAAGGAAGAAGAATAAACTCGTGAAAGATCCAAGTACTGTCAAGGTAGTGTTGCAAAAGTTGAATGAATCTGATGTTAAATCTAGAACACCCTCTCCGAATGAAACAATTTCCCATAATTCTAATCAGAATTTGTAAGTATGCTAACACGTGCTGATGCATTAAGTATATATAATAATAACCTAAATTAATTTATATGCAGAAGTCCTATATCTTCCCGTGCGGATAATTCAAGTGACTCCGAAAGTAGTACAAGTACCAATAGTTTATTTGCTTGTAATCGTCCTAGACGGAAACGTGCTCCAATCACTTATTATGAGCCTAATTTGTTAAAGTGAGTAATTTATTCTAGTTTTGTATAAATTGCTTACATACTTTGTGAAATTATGCTGAATTATCATTGTTTCTTATACTTCAGGAAATTACGAAGGAATCAATAATTACGTTACAACATTTATCAATACTCGAGAAAGAATTAATAAAATACAGTAATGTATTTCTGAAACACATTGATATGCCCTTTGATGTAAATAAGTTACTAGTGTGTATGGAAAATTTTATTGGACAGATCTTGAAAAAGAAAGAAAGAAAAGAAAAAAAGAAATTGAATTAATTTCATAATCAACATCTAATAATTATAAAGCAAGTTCGCATTTTCAACGATTTTGCTTCCATTGTTGCGCACATTTTTATTGAACTAGCAATTGTTAATTATTTACAGGAAATCGGCTTGCTTTGACGTGGTCATAGCTTCGATAATTTTGGCTTCCCCTCTCGTAGTATTGTTTGTATGTTGTACCTTTTGTATTCTTAACTATGTTTTAATGAATAAACAAATATTTGCGAACATTATGTTTCTCTTTGTTTTATTAATCTGAATTTCAAACAATTCAAACAATTCTAATCTGAATCTAGCAATAAGACGATAAACGAACAAACCTCTTTATCGATTCATCGTTCATCCTAAATTATATCGTATCGATTATCTTAAAGTTAATAGAAGAATCGAAATAAGTCGTTAGTTGGTTGCGAATAACCGCAGAAGGAAGATGTGACGAAATTGTGAAAGGTAAATTAAATTTTTTGAATAATGTATAAATAATTGTATTCTTCTTTAAATTTTAAGCATTGATCCGTGTTTATGAAATATTTAAATTATAAAATTTAATATATATGAATATGTGAATAATAAATGTGACGTTTTGCAAATTATTTTTTTGAATTTGAAAAACGTGTGTATGTACGTACGTGTGTGTGTTACTGTAAAATTTTGTAATATTTCTGAATTTGTATGAAAATAGACGCAATGATAGACACTACTGACCTAATTGCACATAATAATTATGAAAAAGAAATAAAGATAGTACGATTGTGAAAGTAGATATTTAACGATCGGTGGAACGATTTAAAAATCGATCGATCTTATTGTCAGCGTTCAAAGAGGTCGCATCAGTGCATAAATAAAAATGTTAGGTCTTGAGTAAGAAGTATTACGTATAATGGAATTAACCTTTTCTAACCTAGGCTGACATGATCTATAGAAATGACCAGACGGAAACTAATTATGTTTGTTTAATTTCTAAATGAAAAAAACAATTGATATTATCTCGTCTCTCTATATATAGCAGATGTGTGACTTTATTTGGTAATTTGCTGACTTGAATCTTTTGTTTGAATGAAATCAATTAGCGAAGACCGAATGATCGT